CCCTCCTCATCGGCTGAGTCTGCAAGGTGACAGCATGGGTGCGGCCGGGCCCGATGGGGGCCCCCTACAAAACACTCAGCAGCACCCCAGCCCTGGGGCACGGGGGGGGGCATGTGTCCACTCCCCACCCCCCGCCCCCTCCCCCAGCAGGGTGCCGAAGCAAGAAACGGGCAGGGACACATTAACTGGTGCGACCCCACAATTAAAGCCACCGTTGTTGACCACGGCGAGAGCAGCTCTGCCTGCCAACACCAGCCGCCATCACGTCTCCCCGCTGCCGGCTCCCCCCAAGTGTTTATTTAAGCCAACACATTGCTCTGCTAATTGGATAACATTCCATGTGAAAATAGACCTTTTAAAACAACAGCAGTGGCGGCAAATAAAACCAGCTGCAACTGCAAAAGTACAAAGGCACGGCGGGCTCGGGAAGGGACAAATTAAAGGCGCATGCATGGGAAAAAAATTAATATTCTGGTTTCCGGGCCGCGAGTCTGTTCCTCGCATCCTTTCCCTTCCGGGCCGCCCTTCCCTTCCTCCTCCGGGACCAGCCTGCTCTGGGCAAAGAGAGGAGGTGGCGGCTGAGGAAAGAACCCCAGTAGTACTGGGGGCTCCTCCGAGGCCAGGCTGCTGTTGGGCCCGGGGGGCTGAAAGCTGACACGTGTGCTGGTGGGGCTGATCCTGGGGTGCTCACTCCTTCTCTGGGTGCGGGGGGCTCATTTCAGCCTGGGCGGGCTCCCAAGAGATGCTCTGCCCCCCCACCCCCACCGAAACGTCTCTAATTGGCAAGCCCCTCTCTCTGCTGGGTGCTGGAGAGAGGAGGGGCTGACGCTCGGTGTAGGTGAGCAAGTGACCGTGAGGGAGGGCCCTGGTCGCATGGCTTCGGCATCTGGTCGGCACGAGGGCCGGCTCTGCCCAGTCCTGGCTGCATGACCCCAGGGCCAGTGACTTCACCTCCTTGGAGCCTCAGTGTCCTCAGGTGTCCAATGTCACCCACCACTTACCTCCTGGAGTCCTGGGAGGAAGAAGAGTGACGAATGCAAATGCTTAGCACCCTCCCTGACAAAGACAGGCTTTGAGAAGTTGACAGTTTTCATCAATGCCCAGACACTGCCCTTCTAGAAACATCAGGGTCCAGAGAGCTATGTGGCGCCTGAGACAGGGAGAGAGCTGTGCACGTGAGCGCAGACCCAGGCCACCCAGGGAAGACCACTGCATCTGGGACGGTTCGAGTCCTTGACTTCCAGGCTTCCCTTGTCAGCCTCTGTCCTGCCCCCCTCCACCTCGAGGGGGGAGGTTCTTCGAGAAACATCAGCTCATCACCCCTGGAGTTTTAGGGAACTCTGGCACTTTCAGAGGGACTGGCACTTCCTGGCCTGGACATCAAGGGCCAACAAGCATCCTAGGATGGGGGAATGTGCCGGCTCACTGAGCCCGTGAGCCCGTGATGAGGGGAGACGGGTCTCCTCCAGCATAGCGCCTCGGCCCCGGAGCCAGGGCTGGGCTTTCTGCTGGTGCATGGGGATCAGTCCACAGGGATCGGTCCACGGGGCTCCGCAGTGGCTGCACAGACGGATGGAGCCTGGCGGCCGTGGGGAGCCACGGGGAGGGAGTGATGCAAATCTCCTGCCCAATTCCCGGGGCTGCTGCAGGTTGGGGTGAGACAATGCGCACATGATGTACATGTCACATACAAAGCCGGTGCGATCGGTCGCGGGAGCCTCTGGCTATTGTCATCAGTTGCCTGGTTACTCCGAGCTCTGCCACGACAGCCTCTGTGGAGCCTCGTGCCAGGAATCTCTTTCCAGTTTGGGGGTGTGTGCTTGACCCAGAGGAGCCTGACAGTTAACAAAGTCCCTGATCACGTGCGAGGTGGGACACGGTGTTGCGGAGAAGGGTCGGAGGACTCAGTGCATGGCGCAGGGGCAGTGCATGGGCACGTGTCGGGGCCCCAGCAGATGGCAGTGCCGAGGGGCTGCCTCTAGGGACTGACCGGGGCCTAATTCTCTCCTCTGCCAGCCGATGAATGGGCTGGTTGATGCTGGGGAAGGAGCACTGTGCTGGGAGCCGACATACCCGGGTTCAGGCCCCGGCCCCACCCAGAAACCGTTAGTTCTCCATTGCTTTCCAGACTCATCGCTGTGTAGTGCGCTGTTCATGACCCCCTCCCGCCTCTCTCCTCTCTCCTCTCCCTCACATCTGAGCACTGCCCAGGTCCCCGGGAATGGGGGGGAGGCTCCAACGCCAGGTTCAAGGGTTGCCGATGCCGAGAGTGACGACCTCCATCTCCATGAGGGCGTCCTGCCAGGCAACAGGAGTGAAGCCCCCGGTGAGGGATTCGCGTGGGTCAGGGAATCAGTCAAGCCCCAAAAAGGCTTCTAGAGGAGGTCTCCCTCCTCAAGGGCTTCCGAAGGGGGAGAGCCACACAGGGGAAGCCCGCCGTGGGAATGGGGATCAGGCACATTCCTCTAGCATTCCCACAAATTCCTCCTGTGGAAGTAAGCCGCGATCTTGGGGTGTTCTACTCGTGTCTCCCCACGGCCTTGCGCTCCCTCCTCAGACTCCCAGCCACCCTCGTGCTGGTTCGGCACGTACAGGAGTCAGAATTCTGTTCACCAGCATGCAGCGTGCATGGCTCTGGGTCAGCGGCGGGCGCTGCATGTGCCACTCGGAAGACAATAAAGTTCTTCAGACAGACACCGAGAAGGACAGGGAGAAGCAGCTTCCCCGGGAGGCGAAAAGAGCAAAGGGCTATGTGCAGGGAAGACACGCTCCCGGTGGGTTCACACTTTGGCGAGGGCCGGCTCATAGGGTGGAGGCACAGGGGAGAGCTGCTGCAGGGGTGCGGGGATGCCAGGGCCAGAAGTGGCCCCAGAGCCCGGCCGGCCGCCTGTCAGAGCTGAGGGGCAGGAGGGGCCAATCCCGGAGGGGCTGTGCGTTGAGTCCTCCCTGTCCTCGGCTGCCCTTTCTCCTCCCGGAGCCCAGAATGGAAGGCGGGGAAGGGGTGAAGCGAGAGGAGTGACCTGCATTAATCACCAGAGGGCTGTGCTGGCGGGCCTTCGGAAACATCCTCTGCAGCCTGGCTCTGGTGCCATGAGCTGCCCAGCCGGGCACTTGCTCCGCCCTGCCTACCCGAGGGGCCCCTTCCGTCCCAGGGATCCCGGAATACAACCGCCCCGACCGCGTCCCCACGATGTGGCACCTGGAGCTGGAGGCTGGGAGCCCATGACCTGGTCTGACCCTCCGGCACCAAGAGCCACGTCCGTTCGGACAGCAACCTCTGCCCCAGAGAGAGGCCGCCGTGTGGAAGACGGATGCCTTCCAGCTGCGGGGCTTGGGCGCCTCTTGGCTCTGCTCGGTCCCATCCCTCCTCCTCCTTAGATCAGCGCCCTTGGACCAGCGTCACCACCTTCTTCCTCATCACAGCGAACAGACGGAGCCCCAGGGCCAGCGCCATCCTAAGAACACCACCCCATCCCAACCCCACGACAGCCCGATGAGGAAAACCCTATCTCCGTCTCATAAAGGGGGAAACCGAGGCACACAGAAAGTAAGGCGCTTGCCCAAGGTCACACAGCAGGTAGTGGCAGGGCCAGGATTCCGACTCAGGCAGTCTAAGGAGCCCCTTCGGAAGAGGCAGCTCTTGGGGGCGGGGAGTGGCTCCCCGCTCCTGTTCTCCCCTGCTCACAATCTGGCGCAGGACCCCGATATCAAACAACGGCTCTGTACCCCTTGCTGTCTTACAGCTGAGGAACCTGAGGTGCAGGGCAGGGCTCGGGAGGCCAAGCGGCCGGCGGGAGGGCGGCTTCCCTCCGAGCCAACGCGGGTCCCCCAGAGGTGCCTGCCCCGCGGACGGGAACCGGGGCCAGGCAGGGCCTGTTGCGCGCAGGGGGTGCCGTCCCCTGCTGCCACGCACAGGAGGCAAAGGGAAAGACTGCCAGCCGAGAAGAAAGGGGAGCAGATGTCCGGACAAACGCGGCCACGTGTCAACAAAATAGGCACTTGAGTTCAAGACGCCGAGACAAAGGTGGCTGGCAAGGCTCCCCGAGGTCCCAGGAGTGCCCTCTGTGCCTGCGCGTGTTCCCAGGGCCCACAAAGGCTGCAGCTGTGTCCCTGAGATGTCACCTTCGGCTCCACCCACTGGGCCTCTGGCAACGGCAGCTCGCTAAAGGCCAACGGGTGTGATTCTAACAAACACCCCCTGCTCTGCCGAAGGCCGCCTCGTGCGACGTGGAGGGGATCCCGCCCGTCGCTTCACCGTACCCTTGAGGAAAGATGAGGCCAGCAGAGGGGAAACGCACAGGCTCATGATGGAGCCCCCAGACACAGCCGAACCCCCGACCACACCGCCTCAGCTCCCACATCTGCTGCCGGGCTGGGCCCTGCACCCACTGGACTGCCCCCCTTCCCCCTTATGCTGCACCGAGCCCAAATCCTGAGAGGCTTCCTTGCTTCCAAAATGAAAGGTGCTCTGTCTCCAAGGATCCTGGAAAATTCTGTAGCTGTGCTTATACACCTGCCTGGGCTGACCTCACCTATAACCAGCACAACTGAAAGGCCCCGGCCACGAGTGGGAAGATGAGGGGAAAGACGTGTGTGTCCCGGTGGCCATGTCTCCTTCCCGAAGTGCTGGCCCCCAGCCCCTGCCATGCTGCACAGCGTCTCCCATGCTGCCCGCCTCAGGGTGCTCATGACCGGGGAGCTCTGTCTGAGCTGGGGAGGCCTGGGAAACCCACTGGCCTCCCTACCTTGTAGCCCAGGTTCCTGCAGATGTCACATCGGGGTCGGGGGAGGAGGGCAGGGGACATGGAACTTCCCCTCCTCTAAACACAAAACCCAGGGCCTTTTCTTCCGAGGGAGTTGCACAAATTAGCAGGGTCAGGGAAAAAGCAGGAGAACCTCACAGGGCAGCGACATGCCCTCATCCATTAAGAGGTTTAGCTGCTTCTCCTACTAAGGGCCCAGAGGACAGATAGGGTAGGCGGGGGAGAGCTCGGTCTTACCTTTGCGTCCTGCTTCGTGAGGAAGTCCACGAAGCCGAACCCTCTGTGTGTGCCCGTCCCGGTCATCTTCTTCGGCAAGCGGACAGTCTTCAGCTCCCCGAAGGTGCTAGAAACAAAAGGCAAAACACGGCAGTTTAAAAAGAGAGGCCTGAAAAGGGGCTGGGGTACGTGTGTGGGAGGGCAGGACCAACTCTCACACATGAATCCTTTCTGGTTAGAAAAGAGAAGTACTTGCGGGGGCACGTGTTCGTGTAGACACACACACACACACAAGCACGCACACACCATACAATAGTGTCGCCTCCCCACCGGCTATCACATGCTCTGGGGCATGACTGGCCTTCTCTCCTTTCAGATCCCGGCCATCACGGTGGGTGGGGAGGGATGACCGGGGTTGGAGATGCTGATGGAGAGTTTTTGGTTCCTCTCTGACAGGCTGGCACACTCAGCCTCCCCTTGCCTGTGGGGCTATCTGGCAGGGGACACGCAGCCCTGCACACAAGTGGCCAGGGCACAGGGCTGCACATGTGCACAGGCCAGGGCTCCGGACTTGGAGTCAGCAGGGTCTCCTGACCTGAATCCGCCTGCACGGCTGAGCTGAGCACACAGCGAGTCTGCATGGAGCGAGCAGGATGAGCCTCTGCCCCCGGCCCCGGGCCCCGGGCTGTTTCTTCAGCGCTCAGTGCCAGAATGACACAAAACTACTCCCTCTAAACCCCACGTCCCCTACCTCCGGGCTTTAGTTTTGATACCTGCTAAGCCAAAGTCAGGCAAAGCTCTGGAGAAGAAAATGGCTTGGCTCCCCGTGACAGGGATCAAACAGGTAAACACAGCTTGGACCATCCCCTGCTCCCCCAACCCTCTCCTCCCAGATAAACGTTCGAGAAATTCCTGGACAAAAGGATCAGGCCTCTCTGGCTCTCCTGTCTCATTCCCCAACCCCAACTCTATCCCGATGGCCATTTATCAAATATATATGCACAAATTGCCACCGATAAATATTTAACGTGTACGGCATCTGAAGAGGTGTTATTTTATTTGAAAATCTACACACACTTGTGGTTGGCTGGGCACACGGCACATACACTCAACGGCCTAGGATGCTTCAGGGCCAAAGACCGATTGGGTAAAAACACAGTAAAGGCCATAAGCTCTCGTGAAATGATATAAGCTAAATCCGAGGCGTTAACCCGCAGCCCTGCCAGCATGACCAGGCATCTGCCAGCCCAATTTCTGAAGGCAGGATGGTGTGTAAATGCGGCATTATGAATCCTCAAAATGAATCCGCACGTCTCCTCTGAGCTCCCCTAGCAGCTCCCCCCAAGGCTGGCGACAAGGCCGGCCTCCCGGGGAGGGGAGGGGGTGGAGGGGGTAGGCCTCGAGCCCTGTCAGTCTTCCAGGCCTGGCTGAAGCTCTGGCTCATCCGGAGGGGGCTCGAGGGGGTGTGGTTGGGGCCCAGAGGCTGGGCAGGTGGGGACAAGCAGGAAGGTGAGGTGGGAGGGCCTGAGGAGTGGGGCCTGCAAACCCTGCTTTATTCTGCCACCTAAAGGCCGAAGCATCCCATGACAGGCATTGCCTCTCTTCCTGCGTGGGAGTCCCAGAGCCTCGGCCAGGGAGAGCAGTGGCCAGATGAGTTTTCTCGTAGGCTCATTCAGATAAACGGTCCTTTGGCTCCAAGTTCTTCAGAGAAATGTGGGGACTGCAGGGATGGCGCATCTGATGGCCATGAGGACCCGAGAGTGACAGAGGTCAGCCTCAGACTGGTAAAAGCAGGCCTTAGCCAGCACCTCCCACGTGCCCAGGCCATGCTGGGTGCTGTACGGACAAGGGTGCGGACGACCCTGCCCCAGGCTCCAGGCTCTTGCAGGCCTTGGCTTCACCACTGCTTCAACTCCAAGCAGCCTTTGCTCATCCCCCCCGGGCTGGGCTGAACGGCCCCCCGGCAGTCAGGGCTTCTCAACCAGGGCACTGTGATGTGGACACCTGGGCGCTCTCTGCCTTCCCCTGAGGCTGAAGCTCAGCTCTGCAACAGCAGAAACCACATCTATCTTGCTCGTCAGGGGATCTGCAGCAAGGAGCCCAGTGCCTGGCCCAGAGGGGACGTCTGGTGGCATTTTGGGAACAAGCACACGGTAGCCCCAGGCTGTAGACGTGACCACTGGCACCTTACCACTAACACCCAGAGGGCTGTGTGAGGAGGACGCGACACAGGCCGTGGGGTATGTACCAACAGCACAAATGTTCGTTAGTAGCCTTGCCACCCCCATTTCATGGATGGGGAGACTCAGCTCAGGGAGGCAGCGGTTCCGGATGTGAGTCTGGGCGGGTCTGATGCTAAGCGGGAGCTCTCTTTCCATGGCAATGTTTAATTGGTCCTTCAATTACCAGCATGGGGACTGGCCACTTTCGGGACTGGGGGTCTCTTTCGGAGGCAGGGCCCCATTGGGCGTGAAGCCAGAGCAGGGCGGCTGGGAATGGCCTGCTCGGACTCTGAGGGATCCAGTGACTTACCCAAGACCGCAGGGCAAGAGAGGGCGACTGAGTCCCAGTTCCCTGTGCTCCCGCCATGTATAAACTGCCCCCACCTCTGCTGGCACGGATTCCAGTCCTGTCCCTTGATGGTCCCACTGGCCTCTGCCCAGATTTCTTCATAGCCTTGTCTAATTTCTGGTGAGTTAGCCTATGTGAGTGTGTGCATGACAGAGAGAGGGGGAGAGAAATGGCTGAGGTTAATTCTTCCCTCTGCAGTGCACTGCAAGCTGCAGATGCCCTATGCATGGCAAGCAGCTAAGGGTCCGGAGAAAGGCAAGGAAAATAATTAAAAGGTGGAGAAAAAAGCTGATGAGGAGAGGCTGAAGGCGGTGTGCTGATGTGGCCCGGAGAAGTGGCATCTCCGAGCTCGGCAGGGGGGCCACGGCAGAGGGGTGTCCTGGACCCACGAGGGAATGCGTGCATGGATCAGGGGCTCCAGTCCCAGGCAGCTGGGGGGCCTTAGGGAGGTCGCAGCCCCCATCTATAAGGCACAGAACACTGGGTCCGAAGACTCTAGTGGCTTCAGAAATCCTGTTAGTCTTCAAGGGGACCAGGGAAATGGTACTGATGAGCATGTTTCCCCCTTTCTTCTGAGAACAGCACGAGAGAGAGCTGGGACTTAAGGAGCAGCTGCAAGATTAGGGTTAGATCTTAGAAGGAACTTCCCGATGTCTGGGAAGCCCTGAAATGAACAGTGAGGCTTCAGACACCGTGATTATTGCCGTGACCCCAGCCACCAAAGACTGGTTGCCTGTGAGGTGCTAGGCCTTTTTTAAATACAGTTTCCGGGTATAACAACTGTGGTGACAGGAGTGTGACTGCCTCTATTCTCCCAGGTGAGAAAACCGGAGGCCAGAGTGGCCAGGGGACCCAGCCATGTCCCCCGGCCACCACTTCTCCGGCCCAAGAACAATGCTGGGAAGGCAGCCGACCCCGGCTTGTGTGACTGTGCGGGATAATATAAGGCTGGTACTAATGATCTCAGAGCGATATCGAAAGAGAATTAAAAAGCAAAAAAAAAAAAGGCTGGGGGGGGAATCGATGAAGTACCTTTAGCTCCTTAGAGATAAGCGATATATAAATACCAGCCATTATTAAGGTTCTTATTGGACAGGAAGGTCCATGGAGCCATTTTTAAGAGTGGCTTTTGAAGGAAGTTCTGCATGTATCCTTGTCTCTGGGGGAGGCCCGGCAGGGCCGCCAGGGACCAGAGAGGGAAGGAAATCACGGGGCGCCCAGGCGCTCCCCCCACCCCCTCCCAGCCCAGACCCTGCTGCTCGGGGAAGGAGCCGCGTGCGCTCCCCACTGTGTAGATAATAGAAACCACAAAATAGCAATTACTGTATCAGAAGCTGTGAATAAAGAGGACATACCGGGCTTTTAAACATGGCCCTCCTTCCCTCCCCCACCACGCTCACACTTCATAACAAACTCACACCTCACTTTTCCAATTACTTCATTCACCTTGGGTTCACCAATTACTGCCCCACGCCACAGCCCCACCCCCTCGGCCGCACCCAGAGCACGTGACTGCCGGCAGACCGGTGGCTTTTCCACGCCTGGAGTTTGTGGTCACGTTTCTAATTCCTTCTGAGGTGTGTAGGGGTGGGAGGGAGAGAGGGGAGGGAGAGGTGGGGGCGGTGTGAGGTGTTGAGAGAGGCGAACCAATTATACCCAGCCCTCATAAACAGGTCTGGGCATGCAAATCATGTCTGCACACAGGCCTGAACGCAGACACAATGTGTGTGTGTGTGGTGTGCACGTGCACACACCGGGTGTACATGTGGGGATCTCCTCCCTCCGCACACGCTGCGTGCCCCCCAACCGGACTCCAGCCCTGGCTGGCGGCTGCTGGGGTTTGGGCTCTGCTCCTGAAAAGGGATGAATTCTCCTCTCTCTCCCTTCCTTGTTTGAAGCGATGGGATCAGGAGAAAGGAGTGAGAGGAGAGGTGAGGGCGAGGCACAGAGAACCCTCCAGAGATGCAGAACTTGACAGTTGTGCATCTCCTCTGATGCCTGGCTTCTGGGGCTTAATGAGCTGACTGGGAGGCTGGCCTGCCCCTCGGACCTGTACGCTGACACCAAGTGGGGGTCAGGCACACCTTGAAGAGCCTCAGCCCCTCTGCTCCCAGGACGTAAGTCCTTATCACTCTCCTATTTGGGTCTGCTGGAGAAGCCAGCGGCCCAGCAGAAGTGCCGAGTCACGTGGGGAAGTTTGTTGGCACGCCTTCTCTTCCACCTGCGCTCAATGCACTGCTGAGGGGGGAAAAAATCTCAGCTGTCACCCAAGGGACCCAGAGTCAGACAACAGTGTGGTCTCAACAAGATGAAGGGGTGGTCTGTGATAAGAATAAACCCCAGGCTTCTTTCTCTTCCTTCTGGAGGTAAGAAGAAAGGGCTAAATCTCTTGCCAAAAAAAAGCCTTTCAAATACACCCCCACCACCAGCACCAATTTTCCGACACAGCATATCCATCCGTCCCCCCGGGACTTCCAGGCTACGGGCCCCCCAGCATGTGGAGCATCTGCTGTACATGATCTCACAACAGTCTTAGGAGCTAGGCACTGCCATTCC